AATAGCATTACACAGAAGAAAGACAAAGATTAATAAGTCCAGAAAATAAATGGATCATATTTATTCAAACTCATGTAGTATTTTGTAAATCTTCCTCTGGCATGAATTAAACTCACCAAGATGCCTTCTCTGAGGCTATAAGGTTCTGGTGCTTCTGATGACATACAGTATTTCTGTCAAATCATCTGAGTAGAATTATTCTACATCCTGCAGACCTTTTGGTTTTTATTTGTGAACTGCTTCTCTTTAGAGAGACACAAATGTTTGACTGGATTGAGGACTGGAAAGAGAACATTTATTTTATGTGGAGTTAATAATTTTGGTGTTGATTTTGATGTTTTTTTCTGTAGCTGCCAGCTTGTGTTAGAAATCTCAAGGTTAACAATCTGGGACTCACTGGTGCCTCCTGACCCACTTGTCTTTTTTATGAAAATTACATGAATGATAATAATAATAACAATTATAATCATCATTATCTTTCTTTCGTATACTGCCTTTAAAAACAACCAAAGCACTTCACAGTAGGAAAAGAAGCACATAATGAGAGAGACAGCAGAATTACACAAAGGGGCAGAAACAGAACCACTTAACTGAAAACTCTTCTAAAGAAGGTTTTGAGTCTTAATGTGAAAAAACTAAGGGAATGTGACGCTCTGATATCATTAGGGATAGTATCCCAGATCCCTGTCACCCATAGTAAGTAGATGGGATTGGGGGAGAGACAAGAGAGTACTAGGGCGTCAAGCCATGTAGAGCATTATAAATGAGCATGAGGTTTTGGAAGAGCATGAGGTTTTTATCACTTGCACAAAACCTGGTCACAATTCTGGCTGCCAAATTCTAGACATACTGATGTTTGTTCAGTGGATTTAGACATCCCAGTGAGTAGAGCTTTAAAGCAATCAATTTCAGAAAAGATGAACGTGTTGACCAGCTTTTCAGCTACATTTAGTGACAACATGGGATATAGTTTGGTGATATTTCTGAGGTGGAAGAATGATGTTTTACAGTATTTTGCATATGTTGGTCCATTGTCAAGCCTGGATCAAATACCACCGGCAAGTTCAAGTACTGTACAGTGCCATCCATAGATAAGGTTACTGCCTTGGCTTTACATAAGTAATGGAAGGTGCCAAGAATCATGCCTTCCATCTTGTCACTGTGTAAATGAAAGAAATTTCATTTAAAGCCATTCCAGTGTCAGGTTTAGTATGGACATGTGTTTGAGTATCATCACCATAAAAATGATAATTTAGACCATGTGTCATAATAGCTGACCAAGTGGGAACATGTAAATGCTGAAGTGTAGATGGCCCAGTATCAAGCCCTGAGGAACACCAGACTTAAGCCCAAGAGAGACAAATACAGTATACAACCTATACTTGTGTCTTGTTCCTGGCACAAGACTGCAGTTACCACTTTACCAAGTTGCCTTATATTTTTTAATAACTTGCATTACAATGGAATGTGTTATATTCTGTAATTTTTTTCTTCTTAACTGGCCATTCCTCAACTTGTGAAGATTTGATGACCCTTTTCCTTTTTGTCAACTGACTTTGATCAGGATGATTTTACCATGGTTATAGTATAACACTGTAAGATATTTAACCAAGACTAATTTTTAATTCATTCTGTTATATGAATACATCAGATATTACTTTATATACCCAATTTTGTAGGTAGACAATGGGAGTTATTAGAGTGTATGAAAATTTTTGCTACTGTCTGTAAGACAGAATACAGTGTGTCATTATTATACACATTAATACTCAACGGGTGTTATGCACAATTAAATGTTCTTAGCAAGCAATCATATTCTTTGCATTTCCATATATGTCATGAAAAAAAAACCTGTATATTGTTTAATCAACAAAAATGGTAGAACTATCTGGAATAAATTTAAATCTTAGTGTTTAAAAATACAATTGTAATCCAATGATAATGCACAGCTACATAACAGCACTCCAATGAAGACCTTCAACGTGAAATACATTTCAAAGGTCTTTTTTTAACAGACTGGAATTTGAAAATAAAACTAAAGTTGTATGTGACACCATTGTGAGAGTGAAGTGATCACAATGTTAATGAGATGAACTTCTAGAAGAAGGTAATTGTTAAGTAAAGTAAATTAATAAAAACTATAAAGAATAGCTTCTCATATGATGACGAGATTAAATCAATAAATTTCCAGGACTAATTTGGAGGATTTAGATAGAACTTTAGATAGAAGGTCATGGATGAATCGATGGAAAGACTTTCATTGAGCAGTGGACTGGTAATGGTTGCAGATATTCTCTACCAATGACATTATATTTTGATGAATTACTAATAAGGAATTTTCAAATTTATTTTCCATTTATTCACAAATGTGCTGAATACTGTTGAGGGAGTCCAATCTACCATCTCTTGCTGTATGGTTTCTATTTGATTTAATTTAGGACTTTGGCTGGGCAACTCAAGGGCATTCATTCTCTTCTTACTTCTTATTAATCCACTCTGGAGTGACTGTGTGGAACACTTCTGAACTGAGGTCAGACCAGCACTGATGCAAAAAAACCTTCCCTACCCTACTACGATCCTTATTCTACTAACCTTTCTGTATCGTTTTATATTCTGGAACCTCTAATTGGCAGATCCTGTTTCACCAGGATTGCTTCCTTAACAAGTGATGCACTGGACACAGCAGCAATAGCAACCTTTAACCATTCGTGTTGGTTCCACAAGAGACTGAACCTTTCGATCACAGGTATCAAATAAGACTTAACTGGTCAATCCAAAAACAAGAACAGACAACTCTTGCTGAGTGTTGAATCATAGAGGAATCAGACTGCAATAAGGTGGAGTTGATTCCTCTCATAACCATGGGGAAATGTAGATATCTATTTAGCTCTCTTTCTGGAGTATCCTTAAGCCACCCTCTAGTGGCTAAAATAAGACAGACTCAAAACAGTACAGTTTGTTTAGTTGCTGCACTGAAAAACAAAATGTTCTATACTTCTGCATTAAAAATAAAATGTATAAAGCAAAATAATATTTAGTATTTACATAAGCTAATGTGGTAATAGTGTTACAAGTAATTCCTACATTTATAGAAATCTTCCACAGTGCTAAGAGATTTCAAATTTGCCAGCTTAAAGATACATGTACATACTGTACATACATAAGGCAACACAATGTCTTTTGAGTGAAAAACTCTGAAAAGATTAGCTTTTCTTTTAATTAAAACTTACCAAGTAAACATCTTGTTGTTCTGATTACATAAAACCAGATTATCTTTACTTAATGTTAACCATCATAAATGCCTAATTAAAATATTTTGATTGTCTCTGTGTTTGTTAGAGTAAATACAGTCTAAGAGGATCCAAGGGTAGTTCCCACCTGAAGGGCATCTAAAAAACATTAGAAAAGGATGAATAACCACTTGCCTGCAGACTGCATAAAAATGCAATGACTGAACCCTTTGACTTATCTCCATCCCTCAAAACGTCCTAAAGAGCATTGATCCGACTGTGGAAATCACAGTTGTAGCGGCAAAGCTTATTAAAAATACAGGAATTAAGTTTGCTGCTCCCTTGCCAGTCCCTCTCTCCCTCATCTCAGTGGTGCTGGATACAGAGAGGCCATTCCATTTGGTTCACATTTAAGGTGTTTTTTCTGGCTGATAGTTTCCTGATAAGGAACAACTCCCAAGGGTGAGATCTTCCAGCCACCCTAGTAAATGGTCATCTCTGGCGCCTTACTGTCTGGGAGATTCCTTGGGAGAGTCTCATCCCAGGTTGTTTACAACCCTAATGTCAGAGAGCATTGTTACTCATCCTCCACCTCGATCAGCCAATCAGGATTTGGTAGGGCAGGGTAACCCCATGTGGGTCTCGAATGCTGCAGAACATTCAACCAATGAACGACCGTAGTTCCACCAGATAAAAGAGGCAGCACAGGGCCCAGAAGATGCCCCTCCAGGGCATTCTCAGTCTCAGCTTTGACAATCACGTGATGGCCAGCGTGACCGAGTGCCAGGACTTTACTTTGTTCTAAGAGTCGAGACCGCAGGTCGCCCATGCGTAACCAAAGGATCTGCCTGAGTTAGCTCAGCAGCAAGCCTCGTGAACTGCCAGTACCCCACCACAAAAGCTCGCCCGATCAATGAGTGAACTACGGTCAGAACGAGAGAAGAATCTCAGGATTCAGGACTAGTGCTACATCGGGTTCGAACCGGTCTTCTTCCCGTCTAAAGAGTGTGACTTGCTTGGACTCGCAGTCGCTTTCCGTGTGCACAATCTTTGCTAGTTAACCCAGGACTAACTAGCCGGTCTTCAGAGAGTCACTGCCAGCGCGCCGCAGCAGACATCTCTCTCCCCTTCTCCCACACCTCACACCGGACCAGCATGGCCTGGCACCGGGCCAAAGGACGCCGACTGGACGCAGCAACAGCCTGCCGCTGTTCCCTTGTGCCCGCGGGAGATCTGAATCCAAAGAGATTGGATGAGTATTTAACATTCTGCATTACAGCTCGATAATTCAATTGTTACCTCAACCTGAGTTGATATTAATTTAATTCCTATGAATGATGTACTTGCTTTTGAGCATCTAGTGTAGAAGTTGTAATCAAAGCTTGTTAATGAAACGGTATAAATGAATGGTATACTGAATGTATGTCTCTCCTGGTTTGTAACTCTTCGTGATTGAATACATATATTTTGTATTCTGCTTACCCTCACTCTTAAGATCTGGTATGTTTATATGCAGATTTATGTATGAATAAATGTATTCTCGTGTATAAGTATCTGTGTGTGTGCGTTGCTGAGTTATCCCGCAAGTTGTGTTTTCTAATAGCCATCAAAGAATCATTGGTGACTTAATAATTGTCCCAGTAAATGCACAAAACCTCTACACAGTACTTAAGTCTGTCTTTTTGAATTATCGCTTCTCTTTATGATCAACTGTAGTAATTTTAAATAATCTGCAACAAGTGAAAAAGAAAATAATACCTTTAGACAAAGTTGATAGACAAGATAGTGTTTTTATTAGTAAAGAACAATTTGTAGAGGCTCAAGTAAGTACTGTGGCTGGTGCCACACTACTCCTCTACAACCGGAGGGGGAGAGAGTTTGAGCTGGAAGTTTTCACTGTGGAAGATACTGCCACTTCCATGATTGGCTGGGTTCAGCAGGCTGGGTTTCTCGTTGCCACGGGAATTAGAAATCTCTGTGAGGATGGCAAGCTGAAAGACAACACAACAAATCCATGAGGTTACTACAGCAGATAACATGTCTTGTGGCACCTCCATTTAACACAGGAAAATTGAATTTTTCCCTTTTTAAGAGGGCAGGATATGTCAAACTTATTACATGAAACACCAATAAATTATATGAATGTGAGGCTACAAATCAGTCTGAAGAAGACTGAGTAAAATTAGGTCTAATTTATGTTGCAGTCTTCAAAGAGAAGCACTTAATGAATAATGTTCAATTTTATTTACTGTATAATTTATTTAAAGGCTGCATAGAACAAATACATTTTAACCTTTGGTTCATATTTCTTCACTTCTAGAAACATGTATTGATCTCACTGTATGCATGGATTTTATGAAGGGTACATGTTGTTTCTAATATTCTAGCATATCTTAAGCAATTTACATTTTTCCCTATTGATTATGAATTCATAATATAGTATAAATGGTACTTCATCTTGGCCAAAGACACACCACAGTGCTTGTGCAAATCTGTGTCCTGGGTTTCCTGGCAGGGTAGCTATGTTCCGTAGTCCTACAACTATTGGGATAAAAGTAGTTTCTACTTGTGTCCTCTGGTTTGTATTCCACTGCTTATTTTGAAGAAGTCTACTTGGTTGTCTTCACCAAAGCCTTTGAGAATTTTGAAAACTTGCATCAGGTTTCCTTATAATCTTTCTTCAAAACTAAAAAGGTTCAATTCCTTCAGCCTGTCAGTGTAGAACATTACCTTAAGCCCTGTCATGCACAGTTACTTGCAAAAGTAGTCAAATGAATCATTTTTAATAATGTCTTCATTAGATGAATTACAAATGGTGTATACAAATTTGAAGCAAATATTTTTAGTCAAAACCCGAATGCTCAAATTGAACATGTTTTATGGGTGAAAGATGTTAAGTGTCTGCTGAAGAAAATGCAAAAAAATATAAAAATACATTTGATTGCATGCACATTCACTGTCATGAGTCAAACATGTAGTCAATACTACACTCTTACAAATTAAATTTGAAGTTATCAAACTTGATATACACAGGAAGATGCATCAATTGTACAAAAATGTTTTCTGCAACTACCAACATAATCCTTCAATTCTGTAGAAAATTTGATACTGTAAAATATCTATACTAAAAAACATTGGGATTGGATCAAGATAAAATTTGGTCCTTATGCTTTGATCAGTTCCTCATTATTTTTATTATTATTAAGGTTTTACAATATTGTTTGCATTTTAGTCTTCACCCTTTTTTGGTTTATGGTACTTCACGGAGGGCTTGCAAGAAACCTGGTCTGAAAAGATACTGGTGGCTTCAATAAAAACACCTTGGATTTGGTTTCACCAGATTGCCAAACACAATTAATAACCATTGCCTTAGAAATTAAACAAAATGTCTTTAATTAGTGGGTTTAAGGATATATTTGACTGATTTTAACCCGCTTGTGTCTTTCTAGTCTGGATTTCTTGCTAATGTTCCCTTTTTAGATGGTGATACTCTCTCACATTTACTACTTGTCGTCTTTGATCTTCCTGCTGTTTTTAAAAGTATCCATCAAGTTATTATCTTAATTAATTTAGTAAAATATGCAGGTTTATTTTCAGCTAATGTTCTCCTAATTTCAACTAATGTGCTCTTAATTTGTATGGTTTTAGTTTAATGAAGCTCAAGAATATACATTTTTTGTTCCTTAAAGGCAAATACAGTATATACAATATACAACATGGTTTGCAGGGGTGATAAGTATCACTTGTAACACACAGACAGCTGTGAAATTTTTGTCTCAGTGTTCTTCAAGCCACCCCTCATTTCCCATCATGTCATACTCAGTAAATAAATGTATAAACATTATTTAATGTCTTAGTCTATACCTTGTATATTGTATAAGATAGATAGATACTTTATTGATCCCGTGAGGGAAATTGCAGTGCAACAGCAGCTTAACACACACAACACAGCCACAGTGTAACGAATTATATAATAATAGTACAATACATACAATATTACATACCTTATTTATGCATTGTATAAAATGTTAAACAATCTACAAAACAAAGGTAATGTATGAACAACGTAAATGTAAGTCATTTTACAGAAACAATGAAAAGAACAAAATTGTCAACCTTAACAGACAATAAATAAAATTATTAAACAGTCTGCATTCAATCATCTGCCAAACACATAAATGAAGAAGAAAATGTTTCAGAATTTGATTTATGAGCCATTAACATACATAGTATTTAAAATTCTGAGAGTTAAAAGACCAGAAATAGCTGTGCATCTTAGAAGTGACTGTGGGCACATGACTCATGCATTTTCCATACTGTTTACTACCCACACCACTAACTACTTCCATCCAAGTTTGGCATGATATTGATAAACAATAAAGAAACATTTAGTTTAACATTAACTTTAAGTACATCTATATAAAAATATGTACATGTACATGATTAACTATGGCCTTTATTTTTTTAATCTTCCAGTTAAGAATGGACCCATCCCATCTTTTTTACAGATGAAGCTATTAAAAATGCACAGAGTACGCTGCGGTATAACGCAGTGGGCGTGGCGCTTCAAAACGAGTCATAACACGTTATACCGCATCATACCGCAGTTATGATAATAGTATCCGGAATCACCTTGTAAAACCACCAGGTGGCGCTAATTAGATTAATTACAAATGGTGTATAATAATACCTTTCATGTACAGCATTTGAGGTGTCGCCAAAAAATGCCTAGTTTCAAATCCTGGTCACTGCTGAAGGACAATCTTTTTTCAATTAAGAACTTAAGTTGTATACTCTTTAGACTTTTAATAATTTTAAACTGTGTATTACAGCATGTTAATCATTAAACATTAAAAAGTCGGTATATTTTCTAAAAACAAGATTGCTCAGTTGGACAAAGGTACACAACCTTCCTCCACCTTCATCATAAATATTTTAATTATGCAGAAATGTTTTATGCATCAAAGTCTTAATGGAAGATATTACTAATAGTATTAATAATGAATGACCTTGGACTGAATTTAAGTTAAAAGTATTAACGTGGTCCACTATCTTTGTAACCGTCTGCATCAGTTTAACTGATACTTCATTGACAAAAAGAAACACCACAGCATTTCGTTGATCCGATCACGTATTAGTTTCCAATCATACAAAGTAAGTTTTGAGACTCTCAAATTCACCATGGCTATAATGGTTTCCTTGAGATTGCTTTAATTTATTAATTAATTTAATATTAATTTAGAAACATAAACATATTATGTAAACTGTATATGGCTGGTATTGGTAGTTTAATTTAAAAAATACACACCAGTATCCCACTTTCGTCTTAAACATTTTAAGCATCAAAGTCTTTCATTCGGTTACATACTGTGGTTATTTTGGAAATGTTTTTACGTGCTCCTTCTAACAATATTAAGTTCATATACTTCGTAAAACATTATAATGTTTTAACCTTTTCTGCGAATACTTACGCTCGTTATCGCAGTAAAAAAACGCATACTTTTTAGAATTTGATTAATAGGGAATATAATATGGAATCGTGTATCCAAAGAAATGAATAACAATATAATTATATTCATATACTGTACCTCAAATTATCACAGTAGTACACTTTCTTTTGAAATGTCTACATCAGTTTCACTCATTCCCACATGATTACGTGTGTGGCGTAATGACTTAAGCGTGTGCCTTGCATGCCCGAGATCAGTGGTTTGAATCCAGCTGTCCCCATGAGTCTTCTTTAAGCAAATAAAAATGTATTTGAAAAACTAAAATAGCAAATATTATGGACACTATATTGACATTTTTTATATTTCTAAATATCACAACATGTTCGAAGCTAAGTGATTTATTAATAACAATAAATAATTTCAAACTGCTACTGTACTGCCACTATAGTAAAACTTATTAGGAAATACATCTGTCCTGTATCAAAGTTTAACTCGTTCAGAGTGCCCTACATTACAAACTCCAAGCATTTCATTTTGAGCTGAAGACCCTCACACCTGAAGAAGGCTTTACAGCCAAAATGTTTACTTGTTCCTTTATATATAATTTAGTTTATTATTATAATGTAGCTTGTAGTGAACATGATGTGTTTATTTTAGGTTTACATCCTCATTGAGATAATCTATATTTTGACTTAATGCAAATTTCAGCAATGAGTAATCAACTTAAATTTGAATTAAATTTAAATTTCGATAATGAAAAAAATATTTCACACATACTGTATTGTAGTGGCTTTAAAGCCATACGTTCTCATATGTAATACACTATATGCCTAATGCACATACAGTACATGGTAGTGAAAGCTAAATATAAAAAAGTACACAACAGTATTCCACCATCTTCAGTAGCATTTTAAGCATCAAAGTCTTTAACTCAGTAATTTGCAGTGGCTATTTTGGATGTACTTGTTTTAACTATATAAAGTTTATATACTTTATATACTTTTTAAAACAAAATTTAAATTGATTACTTGTTGCTGAAATTTGCATTACATGAAGGGGCTGATTGATTTAATTTCATTTTATAATTCATTAATCTAATATACTCATCTGTACTGGAATCACCATTAATGATCATGGGTATTAGTTTAACTTTTGATTGTCAGATGATTAATATCGACTACTCTATTACTATCTTATTATCACTTATATGTTACTAATATATATGTAACTATATTTTAGTATTAGAACCATTTTGAATCATCCCAGTTTGTATTATGGGATGTAAACTGAGAGGGTACATGGGATGGTCAAATAGTGATAATTTACTGCACTTGCTAACTTTTTAACCAATTAAGATAGAAAGTGATAGTGTAGGTGGTAGAATAATCAACCACCCCCATCTGAAAATGTACTTAATCTGTAACGCTTGCTTTGTACTTGTATTGTGGAACTCATCGTGCACACATCGTGAATAAACATTTTTCTCACTGCAGTCTCTGGTCTGGTTCATTTGGGACTGTCCTGAACATTGGCCTACAATT